TTTCTACCATGCCCTTCACTCGGAGTCTCAGAGCAGCTTACAGACTCCTTTCCCTTCTCTGCCCCACATCAGACACCCTGTGAGGTAGGTGGGGCTGAGAGAGCTCTGAGAGAACTGTCCTTGAGAACATAAGAACATAAGAGATGCCAATGTTGGATCAGGCCAAAGGCTCATCCAGTCCAACACTCTGTATCACACAGTGGCCAGAAATACCAGTGCCATCAGGAGGTCCAGCAGTGGGGCCAGGACATTTGAAGCCCTCCCACTGTTGACCCCCCCCAAGCACCAAGAATACAGAGCATCACGTGCCCCAGAGCCCCTATCTATACCTTGTGGCTAATAGCCACTGGTGGACCTCTGCTCCATATGCTTATCTAATTCCCTTTTGAAGCCGTCCATGCTTGTAGCCGCCACCACTTCCTGTGGCAGTGAATTCCATGTGTTAATCACTCTTTGGGTGAAGAAGTACTTCCTTTTATCCGTTCTAACCCGACCGCTCAGCAATTTCATGGAGTGTCTACGAGTTCTTGTATTGTGAGAAAGGGAGAAAAGTACCTCTTTCTCTACCTGCTCTTTCCCATGCATAATCTTATAAACCTCAATCATGTCACCCCTCAGTCGTCGTTAATCCAAGCTAAAGAGCCCTAAGCGCCTTAACCTTTCCTCAGCTCTGAGGAACAGCTCTGACAGAATTATGGCTTGTCCAAGGTCATCCAGCAGCTGGAAGTGGAGGAGTGGGGAATCAAATGTGGTTCTCCCATATTAGAGTCTGCACTCCTAACCACTACACCAAACTGGCTAGTGCAAACTGAATTAAGAAATACATGGGAACACGCAGCACAAGCTTTCCTATGTCTGCCTTGCAGAATAGATGCTCCTTGTTTCCAGGACCCTAATTGCATGAATCCTGCTGTCAATCAATATGGCTTGTTAACAGTAAAAAAACAACAGAAAACATCAATCAAAGTCCAGCCTATTGCAAGAACAACCGAATGAACTTGTGTGAAAGGTCAAAAAAATCACTCTAGGAAACAGGTTGGTTTGGCATGCATTTTATGGCACTCCAAAGCACCTTATTTGACCTAGCCTGCGTTTTCTAAACTTCGGACAGGCTTTCCTCTATATTATTTTCACTTATGAACAACACAAGAAGCTGTATTCAGACATCACTATCAGAGGTCAGAGTTTCCCAGAACATCTGCTAGCTGTGGACTTGCTCCCCCCCCCAAGAGCTAAAGTTGGACGCGCCCATTGTGAATGAGTTTAGAAACTGTTCTATTCATGACTGGCCAGAATTGGCCATATGACTAGTACAGGAAGAACTGCCCACACTTCAATAGGCTTAATTTATCATCATCATCACTATTATTATTGTGATTGTATAGAATTGTTTTTACTAATAAGCTGCCTCGAACAGGGCTCTTGAGGGACAGTGTAAAAATTCCCCTAAATAAATGCATTCCTCTTGCTGATGTCAGCATATCACTGAACCTGTTTCACTACAAAGCACAACGATATTGCATTCAACATGTGATTCCTGATTGGCTGGGATAACTCAAGAATAAACACAACAGAAAAAAAATGGATACTGAAATGACAACAGAGGGACTATACCAGCATGGTGTAGTGGTTAAGAGTGGCAGACTCTAATCTGGAGAACCGGGTTTGCTTCCCCACTCCTTCTCCACATGAAGCCTGCTGGGTGATCTTGGACAGGTCACAGTTCTTTCAGAACCCTCTCAGCCCCACCTACCTCACAAGGTGCCTGTTGTGAGGAGGGGAAGGGAAGGCGATTATCAGGGGTCATTTAGTAGAAAAAGAGGTTCAGGAGCTCATTAGCATAACTCATTAGCATAACTCATTTGCACATGCCACACCCCCTGAGATCACCGGAAGTGTGTCAGAAGGCAACACCCACCGCTCAGGCTCCACTGGACTGTTTTGGATTGCTAGCTATTTGGGGGGGGGGGGAACATGCAGACCTGTCCTCACAGAGGAGGGAGACCTTGTACAGGAATAAAACTTGGTCTTAAAGATGCCACTGGACTGTTATGGACCATGGGGTGGGGGGGAACTCTGCAACTTACCTGGCTGCTTCTTGCTCTGACTGAGGGCTTCTGGGAGCAGGGGGTGGGGCTTGTTGCATGTGCCCGCCCCTTGGGCTCTTTACTGCCGGAGCTCCGCTCCTGTGCACTCCTGCAGGAAATGACCCCTGGCGATTATTGTAAGCCGCTTTGAGACTCCTTAAGGTAGAGAAAAGTGAATATAAAAACCAACTCTTCTTCTTCTTCTTCTTCTAAGAATGTCTGTAAACAGTTGTGAGAAACCGTAAAGGGGTGAAATCAAGGTGTTTTTCAGATGCTCCTCCCGATTGCTATTTTTTGCACACAGATTTAACTTGCCTAATGAGCTGTTTGACACTTGCACAGGACTTCAGATTTGTTAGGAAATGGCTCAAAAGATACTTTTTAATTTGACTTACTTGATAAAAGTTGGAGGATCTGGTTTAGAATCTAGAGAGACAACTGGGCACATGTGAAGACTGAAAATCTTGAGGACCTGTCTCTTGGTTTCTCTGTTTTCAATTCAAGTAATGTCTGAAACATCATTATTTTAAGACCAGGATTTGACTTGCCAGCTCCTAGAATGGTTCCTATGAAAGTACCTATTATTTTCACATTAAAATCATATTAGTTTACCATGATTAACTTTATTACCACAAACAGCAACTGAAATAATAATGATTAGCCCCTTATTTTAAAATGTAGCTTGGTTTAGCCTTTCCTAAGGATGTAATTGGGCCCTGTGTCAAGTTCCCCTGACATTTTTCTTACAAAATCATATTCACATTGCCAACCAGAGATGTCATTAGGATAAATGCCTGGAATTAATGCTATTTAAATAATATGCCAAATGAATTAACAACAGTCAGTCATTTATTACCAAGTTTTCCCAAGTAACCACAATTATCATTGTTACAAACTGGGAAGAAACTTTGAAACAAGTCATATTGGGATTATTTATACCTAGGGAATTGACATATCCTAATATCAGATGCAAGATTTGGTCATTTGTGTTAAGTAGAAAACACAGTTTGGGGTTATTCATCCTAAAGGCCAACCGGTGAATCTCAGTGTCGCCATTTTTGTTGAAAACTAGATTATTAAACTAAAATGTTATTGGCTTGCTTATTAAAGTAAGCTGACAATTATGTAACTGTTTGCATTTAAAATACCTTTCATTTATGGAAGAAAACCTGCTAATAATTTCTGAATCTGTTGGGCCGTTAGACCTTAAATTTATATTTGTGTTTGTGCTGAAATGGCAAACTTTACTTACAGGGGTTCTAAACCCTTGTAGTACGGGGGGAGATCTTCGTTCTGAGTAGTGCAAACTATTGAGCATGGAAGGCCTTCTAAGATAGAGATTTCTGGCACTGTGTTCTTCCTTCCCTTTTGGTCATATATTTATGTCCAAACACACACAAAGAACGCGGACAATGCTCCTTCTAAGCTGTGGAGTCTTGTGAGCAAAAATTCTACTTTGTGAGCTACTGGCATTAAAGTTGTGAGCGAGCGATTTGGCTACTGCATACATTAGTTTGCTCTGGAGCCCTCCTTCCTGAGCTAAGACAAAAATGTGTGAGCTGGAGGCTAAAAAACTGTGAGCTAGCTCACACTAACTCAGCTTAGAGGGAACACTGGATAGGAGGTATTTCTTTTTGGAGTGATCAGGAAAAACTTGGATTGAAGAAAATATTAAAGTCCTGATTCTATAGAGAGGCAGATAGTATTTCAACCAGCACTGGCCCAACCAGTTGCATAAAATGTATGATGGATGAGCAGCTCTCAAGTAACTGGTCTGGTTGTAGAGGATATTTCAACACTTATCACAGACAGACCTGGTGAGGTTTGTGCCACCAGGAGCTCAGAATCTCTACATAGGCTGGGTACCACTTAGATTTGTCCGCCCCGAAGGTCCACTGGACCTGAATGGGTTCTTCTGATGCCCTCAGAAACCTTTCTGCTAACATGACAGTCATTAGTGTAGATACCTTTGTTGACCACTGGAATTTGGATACAGCCCAGGCAATTGACACCATTGCTTTCAGACACCCTCTACCATCCCACAGAGCTCATTCTGCTCCTTCATTTAAAAAAGGAGTTTGGGAGTAATGAAAAAAGTTGACCTACATGTTGAATGTATGTAAAGTACTCAGAAGCGTGGAGTGATTTCAGCAAGAGTACTTTATTTAGTGAAGAACAAGACAAGAACCCCCGGCACGCAGGCCGGTATATATGCCCAGAAAAACCCACCACCAAAACACACCCCCTAGTGACCCTATAGGTTATAACAGTGGCCGAGAGTCCATTGGCTCTCGGCCGCGGACCTGGCCCTCTGGTTGGTGCGGGCTAGGATCCGCTCCGCTATTGTTCTTCAGGAACGAAGCTTGGGGCTTGTGCTTGACCGCATGGCCCAACGGTCGCGCACGTGGTAATGGCGGATACATTACAATGTAAATGGAGAAAAAAATCAAAACGTGACCAAATAGAGGCTAGAGCTCATTTTTGTGTGTGCCTGTGCTGTGGTGGTGACAACGGTGAAACATTTGTACTCCACCATTAAGTCTGTGCAAAGCTATCTAGAAGTTGTTCTGAGTTTTAAGGAGGCTTACTTCATCAGTCCTATGTTGGATGAGGAAGGGGCAGTGTAAACAGGGTTAGGAAGCAGGAGTAGGAAACCTACCCCTGTTCCTGCAGAGTTTCTCTGCCCCATGGCCTCGGACATCCATGGAAACGGTCTGGAGTGTCTAGGAAACTGCATCTTTCAGAAACTGTGGGCTGTACAACCACATGTGTTTCCAGATATGGACACTGCTTTCAAAGGAGGGGGGATATACATCTCCTGTCCTAAGCCTCTAGCTGTATTGAGTAGTACTACATATAGGTAAAGGTTTCCTGTGCTTGAAAGCTAGTTGAATGTGACTCTAGGGGGCGGTGCTCATCTCTGTTTCCAAGCCGAAGAGCCAGCATTGTCTGAAGATGTTTCCACGGTCATGTGGCCAGCATGACTAAATGCCAAGGTGCACGGAACGCTGTTACCTTCCCACCGAAGTGGTACCTATTATCTACTTGCAGTTTCTTGCTTTCAATCTGCTAGGTTGTCAGGAGCTGGGAACAGAGATGTGAGCTCACTCCATCATGTGGCACTAGGGTCTCGAACTGCCGAACTACAGACTTTCCAGTCTGCAGCTCAGCGTCTTAACCTCTGAGCCACTGTGGCCCCATTACTACATATAGCAACTGATAGCCAAAGGTAAATCAGATCAAATTGAACAGAAAGTGAGTTTTTGGACGTCTTTGAATCTTTTTATTTTTTTCCCAATTAATTTTGTAATGGCCCCAAATAGAAAGGAAAAAAAAACTATAACAAAATATATCAACAATGGTGGCAGGCCTACAATGGGTTTAGGATATCTGTCTTCATTAGACAAGATCTCATGCTTGAAAACAAGAACTGCCGGATCACTGTGGCATTCCTTAAGCAGGAGTCCTTGAATTCACTGGAGGAGGCTTAGCAAATGTGCAGCTACTTATCGACTTATCTCATACTACTTTTCTTTGTTACCTATAGGGGGGTATGATGAAAATGATGTCTTATTCACATGGCTGAGGGGAAACGATTCTGTACGTGGCCTCGACAACTTGCGTCTCTCTCAGTACACAGTAGAGCACTATTACACCTTTGAAACCAGGTCACAGCACGAAACAGGTAATGAATGACAACAGAGGAGGAAAAAAATATTGGTAGGAAAACTCGAATCTTCCAGTCCGAACTGTTCTGAATGGCCCAGATCCAGACGATAAAGACCTAGTGAAATTCATTTACTCACTGAGGTGGCCAAAAAGCTGAAAGCCAGTCACAGTGACAGAACTAACCAAGTTGAGATACCAGTGTCTGAGATATTGATCATAGTACCATGTTGTCAAATCACATGATGTCACATTACCCTTAAGTAGCACAGTCTGACCACATAATCTGCTATATTGTGTTAAGTTCTACCCGAGGGCCAGGTTACTGCAATGGCTCTTCCCCATATACACTCTATTGTCGATCACATCCAGGGACTCAGTACTGTTGAAAATCAGAGTTGGCAGACACCCCTATCTGCCCCCCCCTCAAATATGGCACGAAGGCCCTTTTCGTGGTACCATGGTGGACCAATCCTAATGGGACTGGCTGTCATGCTTTTGGGGCAGGATTCAAATCTGGTCCCCAGCCCCATGCTACCTCATGGTGTAGCGCTGATCCAGTCCTACGTGCTACAAAGTCAGATCACTGTAAAGTGTAGAATGTCTGGAAGGCATCTGAAATGGGCAGCTTGTTTTGGTTTACTCATTCCTGACTTGCTTTTTGTTCTTGTTATACAAACTTGTTTAGGATATATAGTCATAAAAATACTGTAGCCAGCTGAGTGGCCCCACATGGCCCGGGTGGCATCACAATAGGGTTCCAATGTTAATGCACACCAAAATAAATATGGTCACAGTCCATAGACATGCAAAAATAAATCCACAAGAACTGTGCACAGTGCGCTCAATATTTCTTTAACAAAAATCGTGAAGTTATGAATATGAAAGTACAAAAGTAATAATAATACATTCAAGTTATAGATTCAGGTACATAAAGATAGAAGGTGACAACAACGGGACGGTAGTCTCCGGAATGCAGTGCCGTTTCGACAGACGTCTTCCTCTAACCAATAGTTTGATAATGTATGAAAAATTGCACTTCAATGGAAAAGCTGCCCAATTCACATGGAGTTTGATAACAGTTTCACCTATTACCTTGCACAAATAATGGAGGAGAACATCTCTCAGACAGATTAAAGCTTATGTGTTGAACACATACTATTGGTTAGAAGAAGACGTCTGTCGAAAGAGCACTGCATTCCGGAGACTACCGTCCCGTTGTTG